TTAAACATATTATAAAAAGTAATTCATTACCATCGTTATTGTGTAGTCGACGATGTCTGTACAAAATGTCATCCGACATGCATTGCCAACACTTTGTCCAAACGTCCTCCGGCCTTCCAAATGAACCGGACACCAACAAAGATGCAAACATGCGTCTAAGGGAGTCTGCAGAAGCCCATTGGCTTGCTTCCGTAATGCCATCTATATACTCTCGATCGTCCTCCAACAAACCCCGCTCGTAGCAAGCATCACGATACGTTAGATACTGGACTTCACCGACTTTCATGTAGTCCACATGACATGTTGCCCCACGCACAACATTGAGCAAACATCTCAAGTAGTAATTATTTCCACTGTTGGGAGGTACGTATCGTAAACGGCCTACAGAGGGTTGGTCCTCATTTTCTCGAGGAGTCCATTGCCTGATTTTTGTATTCCACACAAATTTTGAGGGCGCCTCAACATACGTTAGTTCCCTTGCCTGAGGGTACATTTTGTTTGCATCGAACCACGCAAGAAATTGACTTTTATCAACTGTGGGTTTGTTGATAACATCTTCAAGATCAACATCTTCGTCAAATAAAAGGTTTTGTTCTCCAAATAAGTGGAAGTTCAAACGCTGAACGGGAGGTTTTTTGTACTGCAACTCATTACCCAACAACCGCCATGCAGCCTCACACGCGGAAATGTACCGACAGTCGTAATACATTTTTATCTCATCCAACGGTCTTTCAAGATCCCCTTCAGCAGAGGTTTGATAGAATGATGCAGTCACACGATCATTACCCTTGTTGACATATTTGAATAGGTATTTTATAGATCGAGATTGATTGCACCACTCCACATTAATATGCGTTCCAAACTTCATAAGCAGACGACGATTATGAGGCACGACATATCCATTGTGAACAACAATACCATTCTTTTCCAGAGATGTTCCATTGTCACGACGTCTATATCGTGGATAATTGTCTTCGTCAACAGTTGTGGAATCAACGAACTTCTTTGGAAATTTTTTAGTACATTTTCCATCCACCATACAGGGCGAGTTTTTGTTTGCCAGGCCACACGGACCATGAATCATATGCTCCTTTACTGCCTTGTAATATAGAGGATCGGACGATTCATCTGGTATCTCTGCAGATATGATTCTATCTATGTCCGATGGGTCGGGAAACTTGGCCTCCTTAGCAAGGAAGAGCAGTATATGAGCATGAGGTAACCCATGTTTTTGAAACTCGATCGTGTATATAACTGCAACATAAATTTGTAGTTAATATTATT